TAAACCAAGCATATGTTGACTAAATGAGGCAGGGCTACTGGAGACTTCATAAAAAGGAGATGGGGAAATTCAATTCTTAGCAATATTTCCTTTTCCCTCTCTCACCATGAGCATAAAACTATCAGAAATAAGATTTCAGAGTCCAGAGAGAGTTAAACAATTAAGTTAAAGATTGCTTAATGAAGCTGAACTATTGTATATTGCAAAGAATCAAAATCTAGTTTATGCATATAAAGAAAAATTTGAAAAAGCTTATTTATTCTTCTCACTGTTTAAAATTTCTGTTCAGTTCAGTGGCAATAGATCAATTCTCCCCATTCAGCACTTTTTCACCCAGTTCACTCAGCTTATAGAAACAAGATATTTTTTTCCTCCATTCATAGAATATAACCCTAACAGCTTCAGCTAGAGCACAAAAATGAACTACATTTTTCATATATTTATATGTTATTATTTAAATTTAATTCAGATGTTTGTCTGTTTCCATTCAACTCGTATGTGATTTTCCAATTAAATTTTGCCTATATAAGTTAGTAAAAGGGTAAAATTATCAGGAAATTTATCTATGATTAAATTATTGTCACTGAGAACTCTAGTGTATGTCTATAATCCCAGCTACTCTGGAGGCTGAGACAGGAGAATTGCTTGACCTTGGGATGTGGAGGTTGCAGTGAGCTGAGATCACACCATTTTTTTTTACATGGTGATTTAATAAACTATGAAAAAAGTAATAACTAAAAATAAAGAATGGTGACCAACATCTGTAAGTATATTAATATGTTTGATCATGGACAATTAGTAATTAGTGCTGTCAAATTTTTAAATAAAGTATAGTAAAATATATGTTTAAGACAGAATATATGAATACAAACACTTCTGCCCACATTTAAGACTTCCTCTTTCCTAAAGGAAAATTAATGCCAGAAAGATTAAATATATAGTCAAAGTATTAATGCTGTCTTTAGAATCTGTAATTATCTCTGTCCATTTGTTATCTCACTAATCTGGTTTAAAAATATGTTTGTGAAACAAATTGATAATTATATTTATAAGAACCTCCCTAATAGCATTATATTTTGAGATATGTAACCAACTTTTCTCATGGCATGAATGTTTGTAGAAACAACCAGCCACGGCTTTCTAAAAATATTTTCATAATGGGGTAACTTTGATTTGGGTTGAAAAAATACAGAATTCCTCAAAGTTTAAAGTGGAGTACACAAATAGCTGCAATTACTATTGTAAGATCCTAAGAGGAAAGGATTACGTCGTTTTCTTGTTTATTTGGTTATTTGTAGGGAGAAGCAGCACAAGTGGCACATGGATTAAGAACTTTATCTTTAAAAATATCAATGAAAGGCTGGACACAGTGGCTCAAGCCTTTAATCCCAGCGCTTTTGGAGGTCAAGGCAGGCAGATCACCTGAGGTCAAGACCAGGTTAACCAACATGAAGAAATCCCATCTCTACTAAAAATAAAAAATTAGCCAGGTGTGGTGGTACATGCCTGTAATCCCAGCTACTCTGGAGGCTGAGGCAGGAGAATTGCGTGAACCTGGGAGGCAGGGGTCTCAGTGAGCAAAGATTGTACCATTGCACTCCAGCCTAGGCAACAAGAACAAAACTCCATCTCAAAAAAAAAATCAGTGAAAAAGATTTTTTTTTACTGCTACTGTTTTTGTTGTTAAAAATATTATATATTGAGTATTCTCTGTACATATATAAATATTTGTACACTTCACTATTTTTTAAAATTTGTTGTCCTGACGCAGCTAAGACAAAAGTAGTATTTACTCCTATTGACAGTCAAAGAAACTGAGCTTCAGAAAGACTAAGTTCCTTGCCCAAGGTCAAAGAAATATTAAAAGAAATGACTAAATTGCACCTCCAACCAAGGCCATATGACTTCAGGGCCTATGTCTTAACCACTATTCAGATTTAACTAAGTAAATTGTATCTTCATAATTCATAAAATTGATTCTTTTTTCAAATCACTAGGATTACCATCAGCCAGTTATCTTAAATTTTAAACTTAATTTGAAATCATGGTTTTAAAAAGTGCTTTATATTACATCAACTCTATTATTAAGCTTCATACTTCTTTTGAAGCATATCGATCTTTTGACATACATTAATTTACTTTATGTTTAGAAAATATGTACTTATTCCCTGCTTTGTGCCAGACATTTTGCCAAGCCCTGGTAGCAAAACATGCTTTATGGGTATTACAGCTAGCATATTGTATATTCAGTTTATAGAATGTCTGAGCTCAGTGACAATATAAGTAAAACAAAAGGTTCATTTCTCTCTATACTAATTCAAATCTCCTTTTTTGGCCCTGAATATTTCAGGCAGATCTCTACACTTTTTCAGTGACTTCCAGTGTTCAATCATTTTACCTGGTAATTTAAACTCACTTTTAAGTATTAGAATGAGCAGTCAAGTAAAATATCAGCATTTTATATTATGTGATTCAAAGCTTCTTATCCCTTAGCTCAGGCACACATCTTGGCCTAATAACATAAGGCAGGGGAAGATGGAAATAATTGGTTTTGTTTTATATTCTACTTCCCTTTTTTCTCCATCTTCCCATAGTTCCAATTGTGGAAATTAGGAAGTTTTTTTTTTTTTTTTTTTTTTTTTTTTTAACCATTATAGTTTTCATTTGGCAAACACCAGCTTCTGGCCAAATGCTAGCTCTGTTGTAAAACAGACTTGTGAGCTCTTTGGAGCATTTTTCCACCAGCCCTAGACTATTGTACTGTAGACACGGGTGGTATAACTGCTAGCTAATCTCTTATAACCCCACTCAGCTCCAAATCCCTAATCTCCAGATTCCATTCCTCCACTTTTTTTGTGCTGGAGCCAACCTTCCCTGCCAAGCAGTTGTCATCTGGTCATCTTTCCAGTGATCACTTTTCCAACTTTCTAACTTCTGATTTCATTTCATAGGAATTGATCACTAATCTTTATTTACACAGCTATCTGCCCACAGACTTCAGCAAAATAACATCACTGTCTCTCATTAATTTTTTCACTGTACTTCAGTTTATCCTAGTATTTATCAAAAACTGGGTAGTGAAATCAATTTATTGGGTTTCACTACATAATAAATTTTATGCCTTGTTATGGGATAGAATGGGATGGGATGGGGTGGGATAGGATGGGATGGGATGGGATGGGATAGGATAGGAATGGAATTAATAGAACAGAGCAATTTTAATTTAGTTACACACACACACACACACACACACACACAGATTGGTGTGTATCCTAGAGTTATTACTTAAAATCTGTTTCATACTAAAGTCAGAGTTTAAAAAAATCTGAAAGCCCTAGCACTGGCACCATGAAAGCCCTGGTCCTTGTGGTTATGCAGTGTAATCAGCTTCCAGCCAGGGAGTGAGATGCTCACCTTGCTTCTTTCAAGCAACTCAGCTAGGAATTGATTATCTCAGGGCACCTCATACTGGGTTTGCTGGAGGGTACCATCTTCCCCTTTGGCCCATAAAAGCACTCCCCCTCAAAAACTCTATTCAATATTTTTTTAGAAAAATACTCTTAATGCACTTTTATTAAAAATTTGAAAATAGGTGATGGATATTGATGGTTACTGGACTAGTTTTGGTGTTTTTTTCAATAAGTATAGTATGGCTATACTGAGTACCTCCCTTTAGAGTGTAAGAGTATTTATCAGTACTCTCAGATTTGAGTCTGAAACCTAGATTCTAAAACAAGAGGAATAATTTCTTTCAAGTGGCATTATGTTTGGTCAACATAAATTCAGAAAATCTCCATGGATATTTTTATAATTTGTTTCTGAAATCATTTTAACTTGAAATCGAGTCTCCTTGAAAGCAATGTAATAGTTATGTTATTATATTGACTAATAGTCACTAATAATTCTCAAAATACAAGCTTCCCTGTTTCTTATTTTTATCAAGTGCTTTTGCTTCCCCACATGATTGTTCACGTACCATGCAGGGGATAAGACGTTGAACCTCTCCACACCTGACAGCCATCGCCATTGTCAGGGAACCAAATTCCATGTGGCCCTCATGGAGTTCCTATCTCCTTCCAGCATGTAGCTATACCTCCTAAGCCATAATCAGAAAGCACTGGGAGAGGGAAGCAAACCCCTCTCTCCCTGTGATATGAGGGCTCTCCCAAGCAAAACTTTGAAAGACCAAACAATGTCAGGAAACAGCAGGAGCTACTTCCTCTAAATAAAGAATGTTTCCAGTAGGCCTCTTTTTGCACAACCCAAAACTCTGAAAACAACCACCAATGGCCTCCAGATATATCCAGTTCTTTCTTTGCCCAGTCTTTGCCTTTTCCTCTGTGTCTCCATGTGCCAAGCACATTCCCATGCCTCCAGAGCTGCTTTACTTGTTTGTAGCTCTATCCCCAACTTCGTTTTATGTTACAGATCGTTACAGATATTGCAAAGTTTCAATTTCTTTGTGACAACTCTTTCCTGCCTGAGGCAAGCTTTCATTGAGCCCTCTGTTTCCAGCCCAATTCAACTTTGATCCCACCACCAGACAACTTCGACATTTCTTTCTTACAAAGGTTTGGAGGTATCATTTGGATGGTGAGGCCAGGGGACCGCTCTGTGCTTAAGTAGCAGCTCCGTGGTTGTTGCTTGCATGTCAGTTTAGCGTGGAGGAGTTTGTTTATTGAAGAGATACTAACAAAATTATGAGGGAGAGGTGAGTTGACAATCTCTCAGCCACCTCTTAGAAATTCCCTGAGTTTTGCTGCAAAACAGATGTCTGAGGTTTCATCCACACTTTTCTAAAGCTACATATACATCAGCTTGGAAACTATTTCTGAGGCATTCTGAACAACCAAGTAGATGGTGCTGCTCAGCATCAAAGCTGGCTCCACCTTGTGCTGTGGCAAAGGACTGATATTTAAAGAGGAGCAAATGGGATGTGTACTCCAGAATTATCCATTTGTAATTTCTTGACCTATGCAACAAACATTCTTCCCCCATAGATCCATGCAAGGAAGACAGTTTTCAATGTGACAATGGAGAGTGTGTTCCACTGGTGAATCTCTGTGACGGTCGTCTGCACTGTGAGGATGGCTCAGATGAAGCAGATTGTGGTATGTCTTATTTTTATGAAAATACTTTTATGACGTTAGCCTCTGCATTTGGATTCCACACTGTAAAAGAAATATTACGAGTGTGTTTATTAGGACCTGTTTTGATGCTTTGAAATGAGAACATCTCATCTCTGAGATTATTTTAGCACCTCTGCCCCCATCTGGTTAGGATAAAAGTTAATATGCAGGCCTCAGTTTATTGTTTGTTTCCATTTTGCCACACTTAATAACTGGAATTATAGAGAAACCAATATTCATATAGGAAGCCTGGACTACCACAGGGACAATATTCCAAACCAAGCAGGCTAGCACCACTCATATTGGCTACTGTGTTCTCTTCATTGCCTACGTTCAGCGGCACCTGCATGCTCACTTATAACTCACTTTCTCTCCCTGCCTTGCTGAGTTTTCAGTCCAGCTGCCCTTCCAGACTGCAATAACATTATGAATAATGGATAATTTTATTATGTCTTTTTATTTGCACTGTAGCTAAGTTTTAAAAAATCTGCAATAAGAGTTACCTATAGTTGGCCAGACAAGGTGGCTCACACCTGTAATTCCATCACTTTGGGAGATCGAGGCAGGCAGATTTCCTGAGGTCAGCAGTTCGTGACCGGCATGGCCAACATGGTGAAACCTTGTCTCTACCAAAAATACAAAATTAGGCGGGTGTGGTGGCGGGTGCCTGTAATCCCAACTACTCAGGAGGCTGAGGCAGGAGAATTGAAAATCACTTGAACCTGGCAAGTGGAGGTTGCAGTGAGCTGAGATTGCACCATTGCACTCCAGCCTAGGCAACAAGAGCAAAACTCCGTCTCAAAAAAGAAAAAAGAAGAATTAGCTATAGTTTAGCCATGAGGAAACTATGGTTTGGAAATGGCAAGTTGCTGCCAAAGGTCACACATCTAGAACCTAAGTTTGTATAATTCTATTGTCACTGCTGTTAACTCTTGTCATAATAGAAAAAAGTGTAAACAGTGTAGCATTATTTTATAAAATTACAACATACTGTTTGTAGGTAAGACTACAGTTGCTGATGTTTTCCTCCTTTGATGAACTCACTTAGCTTGGTCCAGTCCCTACCTGGCCACTAATGGCCTTAACATTCTGTTCAAAACGGTTATAAAGTGATGAGTAAGGTGATAGAAATCAAAGTACAAAGAAAATAGTTTTGGAGGGGTAGGAAGGGAATTCCTAAAGTAGTTCCTAAACTTGAGTTTCCTACTTTCAGAAACTAAGTTTATAAGATATACTCTTCACATGTAACTTTATTTTCTGTATAGATTTATAATAAACTTGCATGTCTCGGCTTTTTCCATTTTTATAGTTATATAAAAGAGCAAAATTGTCTACTAAATTTATATTTTTCAAATTAGACCTTCCATCATGCTCTTAGGAAAAACAACAATCAATCTCTAAACTTAAAATGTTAAGGACATTACACATTTAGTTTAGAGGACATAATTTACTCTTATCAATTTAGGTCAAAATGGCCACCTGTATAATCTAATATCTTTAATGCATCTCTTTTTGTTAGTTTTTCTAAAAAATTTGCTGTAAATTTGAAAATTTTAATTCTATATATTTATGAGGTATGTGATATTATGTATAATGTATGTATATAGATTGCACATAGAGAGAATGTATATATATAAAGGTATGTATATGTGTGTGTGTGTGTGTATATATATATATATATATAGAGAGAGAGAGAGAGAGAGAGAACATGGAATGATTCAATCATGCAAATTAACCTATCCATCACCTTAAATACTTATCATTTTTCGTGATGGGAAAATTTGAAATTTCACAATTTTACAAAATTTTGAAATATACAACACTGTGAGTATTACCTATAGTCACAGGGCTGAGTGAGAGATCTCAAAAAATTCCTCCTCCTGTCTAACAGAAGCTCTGTACTCTTTGAACATTTGACCAATGTCTTCCCATCCTCCCCACCCTTCAGTCTCTGGTAACCACCATTATACTCTCCGTTTCTTTAGTGCGTTTTTTCAATGGCACAATGAACAACAATGGTTTAGTGCGGTTCCGAGTCCAGAGCATGTGGCATACAGCTTGTGCTGAGAACTGGACCACCCAGATTTCAAATGATGTTTGTCAGCTGCTGGGCCTAGGGTAAGTAATTCTACTGGGTTCTCTTTTAAGAGATTCTCAAATTTTTTATTACTATCAAATTAGGTTTAGTAAGAACTTTAAAATTTATAAAAGTTATGAATTTAGAAAATACACATTGGAAAAAGGGAGAAAACAAAAATCTTGATTAACCTCATCCTCAAATAATAACCAATGCTAATAACCTTTGTATTAATAGTATATACATGTAAGTAAACATTATATAAAATATAAGATGCTCTGTTATGCAAAGTACTTATATGTAAGCATTTCTCATGTTTTTATAATTTTTAGGTGATTATTCTTAAGAAAATGAATTATTTCATTTTATGCTATGTCATAATTTATATAAATAATCCCAAGGGTACTACAGAGAATATGCTTTTGCTATATCTTTGCAGCACATTTACAATAGCTTTTTTGAAAAATCTATAGAGGTACCATTGTAATGGGAGAGGTTATACAAAAGTTGTAAAATATTTTAAAAATTAAAATTTTTCCATAACCTCTCCTCCTGCAATAGTACTTCTATAAAGTTTATATTATAGAAGGATAAAGAAGGATATTCTCAGGAAGGATGATGCAAGTAAAAATACCAATTAATAACTCATCAAAAATGTATTATACCTCCCAGTCTAATGCCATAATATATTTCATCAAATATGTAATTTTACCATATTCGTTTTTTACCTTCCCACCAAGTCTTAAAACTACTTAGGTAGAAAATGAAAGTCATGAGAAGTAATAACATACTTACTTTGCATTTTACAACCTGTCAACTTTAACTTGCCATTCTGATCCTTAAGCGTATACGATTTTGAAGATTAGTGATTACCAACCATGTTGGCTCACATGTGGTTATCTTTATAACTTACAACACCATCTCATTTAAAGTTTGTTTGTCATATTAAACTATGAGGTGTATACAGGGAAGAACCATGTCTATTTTATATATTATTGCAATGCTAAAATCTAGATTATTCTTTGTCTTTAAAAATCAGTGCCAAATAAACAGTAAATTATAAATGTACTCTGTGTACATGTAAATATAGACACACCTATCTCTAAAAACATATGCCAGAAGTATCTAATTATAAAACATATGCTTTTCTCTTAGATTGATTCCAGATGTTGGCTATTGTGAATAGTGCTGCAGTAAACATGGGAGGGCAAATAATCTCTTTGAGACACTGATTTCCTTTCTTTTGAATATATGCCCAGCAGTAGAACTGCTGGATTATATGGTAGTTCTATTTTTAGTTTTCTAAGGAACCTCCATAATGTTCTGAATAGTGTGCCTGATTCATATTTTCCCTAACAGTCTAATGGGGGTTCTTCTTCTTCCACATCCTCAACAGCATCTCTTACAGCCGCACTCTTGATAAAAGCTATTTTAATAGGGGTGAGAGATATCTCATTGTGGTTTTGATTTGCATTTCTCTAGTAATTAGTGATGTTGAGCATTTTTTCATCTTCTGTTGGCTATTTTTATGTCTGGTTTTGAGAAATGTCTATTTAAATAAGTTACCCACTTCTAAAATCAGAATATGTGCTTTTATTTCTTGTCAATATGTTTGAGCTCTTTACACATTTCGGTTGTTAAGTGCTTGTCAGATGGATAGTTTGCAGATATTTTCTCCCATTCTGTGGATTGTCTCTTCACTTTGTTGGTTGCTCCCTTTGCTGTGTAGAAGCTTTCTAGCTTGATGTGATCCCATTTATCCATTTTGGCTTTGGTAACCTGTACTTCTATGGGCTCACTCAAGCAATCTTTGTCCAGATCAATGTTCTGGAGTGTTTCCCCCAATGTTTTATACTAGTGGTTTCTACATTTTAGGTCTTAGGTTTAACTCTTTAGTTCATTTTGATATGATTTTTCTTTATGGTGAGAGTTAGGGGGTTAGTTTCAAACTTCATATAGTTATCCAGCTTTCCCAGCATCATTTACTGAAGAGCTTGTTCTTTCCCCAGTAAGTGTTTTTGTGTCTTTATATAAACAGAATCAGTTGGCTGTAAACACATAGATGTATTTCAGCGTTCTCTATTCTGCTCTCTATTTTGTTCCCTTTGTCTAATGTCCATTTTTATGCCAGTTACCTTAATTACTATAGTTTTGTGGGATATTTTGAAACCTGGTAGTGTGAAGCTTCCAGTTTTGTTCTTTTTGCTCAGGATTGCTTTGGCTATTTGGTGTGTTTTGTGGTTCCATACAAATTTTAGGATTTTTTTTTTCTATTTTTGTGAAGAATATCTTTGGCGTTTTGGTAGGGACTGCATTAAGTCTGATAGGGATCGAGTAGTCTTGCCATTTTAACAATATTAATTCTTCCAATCCATGAGTATAGGATGTTTTTTCATTTGTTTGTGTCCTCGTCAATTTCTTTCATCGGTGTTCTACAGTTTTCGTTAAAGAAGTCTTTCACCTCCTTAGTTAAATTTATTTCTAGGTGTTTAACTTTTTTGTGTCTGTTGTAAATGGGATTACTTTCTTGATTTCTTTTTCAGTGAGTTGGTTGTGGAGGTACAGAAACTGTATTGATTTGGTTTTATTCATTTTGTATCCTGAAGATTTACTAAATTCAATTATCAATTCCCTTTTGTGGTGGAGTCTTTAGGTTTTTCTATAGATAAGGTCATGTCATCTATAAACAGGGACAATTTGATTTCCTTCTTTCCCACTAGGATGCCCTTTATTTATCTTTATTCAAATTGCTTTATTCTATTGCTTTTTCTTACTCTTATGTTGAGTAAGAGTGGTGAGAGTAGGTATCCTTGTCTTGTTCCAGTTCTTAGAGAAAAGCTTTCAGCTTTTCTTGTTAAATATAATGTTAACTATGGCTTTGTCATATATAATCTTTATTGTGTTGATGTACATTCCTTCTATACCTAACTTAGCTTCTTTCAGTTGGACCGAGAGCTTCCAGTTCCTTTTATATTCCCAAATGCTGTCCATTTAGAATGAAAATGTCCCAGCTCCAAGCCTCATCCAAGTGGTGTCAGCCTCATCAGGAAGGCAATTCCTATCAAGGGCAAGAGAGGAAATAAATTTTATTATTCATTATGTAAATAATCAGTTTGGTTTATGTGTATTAGTCAGAATCTTCTGTCCTTTAAATGTGTTTGTATTTGTGTAAGTAATTCTTTTTATTCTACATTTTAAACCTTAACAAAAACTCTTTCAACATAGGGAGGTTTCAGACATAAAGTCTTGGAAGAGGGTGAGTTTTAGGAGAAACAATGTTTTTTGATAGAGTCAACAAAACCCAGAAACTAACATTGTTTATTCTCATTTCAAGCACAGAACTGGGTAAGTGGCATTCATTCCAAGTTCCTACTTTAAACACTAATTTTAGTTCAATAGTGAATTCAAAGAGGTGAGGTCCCAGGAAGCTGTTAACTTCAATTGCTGGGGAGCTGCCATATAGATTCGGGAACTTAGTTTCTAAAGATTAAGCTAAGGAGATTGGGAACTTGACCTTGCTTCCACAATTGATGCACCAGTGTGCCCCGGATGACCGGGCTTTCCTTGCCCAGGAGATTTGTGTCTCAATTCACCACCTTTTGAAGATCACCATGTGATTATAAAAAGATCACCATGTGATTATAAAAAGTGGAGTTCTTTCCATTGTGGTTCGTGAATTTTAACTACATTGTTTCCTGGAGGATATATTGGGTTAAGATAAATTATTCACAAAGGTCAAAACAATCAACATTTTACTTTGACAGAAGTTTTTTTTTTCAATGAATTTGAATGAAATATGTTAGTTAGGTCATAGCAAAATGCTGATTCCTACATTTACAGTCCTTCCAATGCATTGGAAGGGAACAAATGTCTTTATTACATTTTAACAGTATATAATGTAAATGTGTTATTATTAATCCTGGATCAGAAATCTAAGCACTAGTGATGATATTGTGTCTTTTCCATGAATAAATAAGACACAGATTTACATGCTTATGTGGTGATGATAGACATATAAATAGATAATTACAATATAATGTGATAAATTCAATATGCTGTAGCAGAACTTAATTCAATAAGGGGATGTCAAGGAAAGCTTTCTAGACAATGGCCCGAGCTGAGTGGATAACAGCCAATTTCACACAGCTCTGTTCTATTTACTTACCTGGTTTACCCCAGCCAGATTTCACTCTCTAGTTCACTGATCCCATTTCCCATGAATCATAGTCCTTCTAACCAGATACAGGGACAAATAACCCGATTTTTTAGTTTGTGTAACAAAAGTAGTACATCCCAATGCCTTAGATACAGTATTTTTGATGAAGATCACGTGCTTGCTTTCTTCAGAAATGAGTCAGGTAATCGCTGCAAAGACTTTAATCTTTAAGCCTGTGCTTATTAAATAGTCTCCCTAGTGCTCTAGTAATTGAAAGAAAGTTATGTCCTTAATGAGAATTTGTCTAGACTGGTGCATGGTAACTGAAGGAAAACTTAGTGAGTTTAAAATGATGTGTGTTTGCTGCAGTAGAAAGTAATTTAGGAGTCAATTTATTAAAAAACCACTGTAGTCTCTCAAGATTATTTATGCAGATAGGGCACAAAATGCAATTCCCTTCAGATTCTAGTAAATCATATGAGGCCTATTTCATTAGCCTTTCCTTTTTAATATTAAACGTTTTCATTTCCTACCATTTATTGCATGCATAATAAATGTAAATAAAAAGTACCTTGAATAACATTTTCATGTCTTTATCAAAGTATGAAAGAAAACATTTTATACTGATGCAACAATAAAGGTTAAAAAAACCTATGGTAGTGGGTTTTTTTAATGATATTTCCTGGCAAAAAGCATTTCCCTGTTACTAACCCAATATATAAATGATATAGCTGATTTACCCTGTTGTATCATTAAACTCCAGAAAAAAAAGATCGTTTCTGTAAAACTTTACAGAATTTAGGAAATACTGTTACATCAAAAGTGGAGTTAGTTTTTTGTGTTCTACTAAGGTGGCCTATAAGGAATTGGCATTAATTTTTAAAT